AGAATAATAAACTTGACCAGAGTGATTTTACCTGCTAATGATATGAACTTTAGTCCCTAACTTCTGAGCTTCTTCAGGACTTTATCTATCATGAATTGGAAGTCCACCCTTGAAAGTCTTCTTAAAGCCAATTTAGTTCCAAGGTAATTGAACTCTTTTACTTCTTTGAATCCCATAATACTTTTAATTTTTCTTTTCTTCCTGCTAGTGACTGCTTTCCCAAATAAAATCCTAGATTTGCTTATGTTTACCTTTTGGCTAGTCCAATCACAATACCTGTTGATAATGCCTTTGATAATCTTCACATTTTTGAACTTTGCTTTAGCAAGAAAATGATATCATCCGCATATAGAAAATGCGAGATCCTTGGGCTGTTATGGCTTACCCATACACCAATTTCTTCCTTCTCCATTATGGCATTAGAAAGGAGCTGAGAACAAAGAATAAAGAGGTAAGGAGACAAGGGACATCCTTGTCTGAACCCGCACCTCGCATTGATCCAACTGGAAGGGATTCCATTGATCAAAATAGAGAAAGAAAGATTTTGAACACATTCCAAGATTAGCTTAGAGAAGAATTCAGGGAATCCAAAATAAGATAGAACTTTATGTAGGGTTGGCCACCCCATTGAGTCATAGGCCTGTTCCATGTCTAACTTGATAGACACTAGACCTTTAGATGCTTTAGAGTATCTAAATTTGTGAAAAAGTTCTTGGGCTATCAACACATGATCTTGAAGAGATCTTCCCTTAACAAAAACTGCTTGTTCTAGAGAGATTAGTTTAGGAATGATACCATTTAATCTATTGAGAAGAACCTTGGAAGAAATCCTGTACACCGTATTACAAAGGCTAATAGGCCTATAATTATAAGCATATTTCAGATTGTTGATCTTGGGAATAAGGACAATAATAGTTCTCTTCCATTCCACATTCATATCAGCTGTTTCAAAAAACATTTTCATAGCTTTTCAGAAATCCAATTTATTGATAGACCAATAGCTTTTAAGAAAGGAATAATAAATTCCATCCTCACCTGGTGATGTGAACCTAGTAGTTTGTCTTATAGCCTTTTCTACTTCTTCTATAATGAAATGGCTGTTTAATTGAGTTCTGTCCTCCTCTTCCAGCTGATGATGGTTATTCGGCCAACCCTCAAGCAAGCATCTCCTATCACACCATTTATCTTTGAAGAATTGTATTAATACATCTTGAATTTGGTTTTGCTCCTCCACCATGATCCCATTTCCATCCTTAATGCAAGGGATGAAATTTGTATTCTTTCTAGCCCTAGCAATTGAATGAAAAAAATTTAGAATTTTGGTCTCCTTCTCCTATCCATTTGACTTTGGATCGTTGTCTCCACCACGTACTTAACCGAGCCAAAGTAGAATTGAGCTCATTGATTTTGAATTTCAGCAAATAATAATCATCTTGTGATAGCACACCAACCTCTGCTTCATGAAGAAAATTTGGTCGCTAAAAATATTAATTTGGATGCTAAAACAAATAGGTAATTAGCGACCAACAAAATTGGTCGCTAAAAATGTTAATTTGGATGCTAAAACAAATAGCGACCAAAAATATTTTGGTCGCTGATTTGTCGTAGTAGCCTCGTCGCTGAGGCTTTTAGCGACATAATTTTTTTTTGTTGCTAAATTAGAGACCACTAATTAGTATTGGTCGCTAAAATGGTACATTTTACCGACCATTTTTCTGACGCTAATGATTAATTATTTGGATGCTATTTAATATTTTAATTATTAATTTTATTTATCACATTTGTTAATAGTGACCAAAAAAATGTTGGTCACAAAAAAGATCAACCAAGTAAATCACAAGCCCCTTTAATTTCATGAAATGTGATTATTAATACATATCAATTTTGGTCATATTTTGTAAAATTTATTTATTATTCAATTATTATACCTTTGCTAAAAGATTTAAGATTAATCAATCACTCCATATTATCACATCTAATTACTTCTCATTAATTAGACAAATAAAATACATATTAAAGAAAAAACACTAATTTTATTACATTGAGGTAACAAAATAACAATTTCTCAAGAAAAAAAAATATTCATTCTTCAATATAGTAAATAAGAATTAGCTAGAAGAAAATGAAAAATGTATTCATTCATATACTTTTAAAAATACATTCATCTTTTAAAAATACAAAATATAATATCTGAAATCTCATTCCTAAAATGTTAATGTTTACAAAATAATCAGCTATAACTTCAATAGATGAACATTGCGAAGGTCATCAACTATAAAGGCTGTCGCAATAACATCTTATCCGGCAAGGAATCTCACTCCCATACTAAAAGTTGCTGCCTTATTCCCACATTTTTTAATCTATGGCTGCAACGCCATGAACAACTGTTTATGTTTGATTAACAGCTTCTTATGCATAGAATTTGACTTTCTACATTATAAAGCCTCTTCATCAATGTCAATCATGCTACCTTGGGAATGCTGATCATCGCCAACTAGAATTACGGATACTCATTCCAGAGTCCATTAGTGGTTATTCGGCTATGGCAAATTGAATTCCACCTAAAATTGTTCCATCATATTAATACTCATTCCAGAGGACCTTGTAAGCTCCTTGATATTCTCCAGCCTAAACCGGGAAATAAAACCATTAGAAAAAAGTGAAAAGAAATGAGATGCAAGGTTAGCCAATTCATTTAAAAAAAAATATAACCTCCTCGCCCATTGTGAAGACTTTTGGATCAGCTGCCATCTCCTTATCTAATGCCGAGTTCAGAGCATCACGTAATGTAAACTGCAAAAGAAAATATCCATTTCATGCCTCATAGATGAAATAAAAGACTTACAAGGTATTTTTTCTTTAAAAAAATAGAATGAAAAAGGTTGCATAACATTTCAGAAGATCACTAGAATTACCAACAACTGCACAGCGACGTACCAAACTGTCATGGAAAGCGTGGTGGTTTTTCAGGGAGTACCAGTGAAAGCTTTTCCATGCATAATGTCTTGTTCGTACATCCATTGCTGGAAAATTAAAGAATATCAGAGAGCAAAAACTAGAACTGATTTAAAGGCACTTCTAAATGCATGAAACAAGCAAGCAGTACAAGCTTCTCTGCAAACTAAAAGCTACAACATGAACTTTCCAGTTCATCAGCTGCATATCTTTCCAGCACATCGTCTTAAATCCAGCTAAATCTTCCTTAAATCCACCCTAAATCCAGCTACGAAACAACCCCTTTGGTTTAAAATTGTGGCTCAAAAAACATATTTTCACTTTTAATTTATCTTTCCCAACTTTGGATCTTATTTAGTTCTGATCATTACCTAATAAGCGGTACAAAAGCATATGTTTTGATTGAGATAAAGTAGCAATGTGATTTTTATGGGAATTTAAAATGTGTTGATATTAAAATACCAAATGGTCCCACCTTTGATTCTTACTCCATAAAAATTTACAAATATTAAACCATACGGGAATAGAAATGATCATGTTGGTAAGATATTACATGAAATACCAAGAATAACGAAGACATACAAGTTTACAAAACTAAAGAAAACAATCCAAAATATTTGAAAAAAAAAGACAGTTAATGCATTGATAGTCTATCTGAATCGACATTTTTGAAAAAAAAAAAAAAACGTTAACACCTGGTATATGTTCATCTTTTTTCAAAAATATTGGCATCAAAATCACATCTTAGACCATCTTCAACAGTTCGGCAAACAACCGAATGGAGGCCCTCAAACGTCGCAACTGAACGCCATTTCCTCCGCCATTTGATCGCAGTTGAACAGTGCGACGCCAATATTGGCGTCGCACTGTTCACTTCCTCCATTCTTTTCTCTCTACTAAACTTGCTAAGAAAGGCATGAAAGAAATGAGCGATGGTTAGAAGGCAAAATGGCATTCCATTGGAGATGAATCATGGCACTTTTTGGTTTTACTGCATTTTGCAAAGAAAAATGAGAGTTTCGGTTGGAGATGCCCTTAATTAAAAAAAATTAATATACTGATGTTGACGCACAACTGTCTGAAAGAGATCTTTTAAATTAGGACCTGATGTATGTGCTCCACAAAATTCTGAATCCAAATCATTTCAAAGTTATATTAGTATAATTACTGTTCAATCATGATCTCAAGAATTCTCACTACAAAGAACATAGGTGGGACACTTTCAGGAAAAAGTGGATCACTGAAGATTTTAAAAATTGAAAAGATAAAAATATTACCTGTAACAGAAAGTTCAGGAGATTCTTGAATATCGTTTTCTATTTTAGCTCATAAAAGTTGATGCCATTGAAATAAAAACACATACACAAGTAACGCCTTACATAAAAAAGCTCTTTTTCAGTCACAGATTTCAGCTAGAATCATTTATCATCCATAGAAATACATAACTAAATAACTCCAACACAAAATGCAACCATAAAAACTCTGAAAAGATTTCTTCCAAAGCAAAAAAATGAAGAGCATGTACGCCATCATCAAAACAAAAATAGTTTAATTTATCTTAAAAAGATTCAAAGTAGCAAAAAGTTCTTTAAGATGATTCTAACTTCACCCACATTGAAACCAATTGTTGCTGGCAGCCGAGAGCCACTAATGCTTCGGATGAATCACTTAAGTTCCACTCAGAACTAACCAAGTGATCTAATTTATGAAATGCACATAAATAAATTACTTTACCCTCCTACACTACAGGAAAACCCGTCATTACCGGTGGACTAAATATCCGACGGGTTTAGTGCAAGTTTAACCCGTCAGAAACACACATATATCCGATGGAAATATAAGTTTCCCGCGCACGTTTCGGCAGAAATTCCTACGCCGGTTTCGGTCGCGTCGATAAATTTCTTTCGACGAATATAATGCGACGGAAAACTTTCCGGCGCACTTCCTGACGCATTACCAGCGCAAAATTGGTGCCGACGACTTCCAACAGATAAATTCCGGCACCATTTGCGCCGGTAAATTTCTGTCGTATCTTCCGCCATTAATTACCGGCAGACAAAACACCGCACGTTCGCCGTAGACAACCAACGGTTTTGTTTGCGGCGCAAAGTCTTCGCCGGAAATAAGCGGCGGACATTGCGCCGGAACTTGCGCCGGTAGTTTCCGACGGAACGAAGGTGTCGATACGTTCGATACAATTCGTTGTATCGTCCTTTTTGGTGACGTTCTAGCGTAAAATCTGTCGGAAACCTGTAGTATTGACAAAAAAATTGCCTTCCCAGCCAACAATCAAATTTCCACACCTGCAAACCTATACAAATATCAATTCCACAACATTTCAATAGTAACATTTCAATAGATCAACTTTTTATAACAAATTCACAACAGTTTCACAACAATTTATAACATTAAAAGAAACTGTTTAATAGTAACAATCAACAAAAAACATCACATTAAAAGAAACTGTTCAATAACACATGTTCACAGAAATAAACAAGTTCATGTAAACTAAATTAAACTACTCTGACTCCGTGGACTCCTCCTCAGGTGGAGCTACGTCTTTTCCACTCAGCTTATCTCTCATCTTGCGCATTTCATTGAACAATTGATTGTGTTGCTCCATACTTGTTTGAATCTGTGCTTGCAGCTGAGCTTGAACCTGTGCTTACAGCTGAGCTTGCAAATCAGCTTGTGATTTCCTTACTTGTTCTAGCTCAGCTTGAAGGGCACTTATTTGTTGAGCTTGTAAGGAGTCATGAGAACTGGATGCGAAGCTGGATGCAGTAGAGGAGGTCATCCCCTCGTATGCCTGAGCTTGCGCACCTAAGCCATATACTCTACCATGCTGCATTCCTCCGACGGCCTGCGACCAGATGCGATACTCAGAATACTCCACAAAGCCGCCAGAAGAGCCCTCACCTGATGCGGCATGAGTCTCTCGAAGCCGTGTATAATCCTCCTGTAAAAGTATAATATAAATATATATAGTTAAACTAAAACTTAGAAAATATTAAACATATATAAAAATATACTTACATAGGCTTTTCTTGATCTCTCATCAATCCACTGTTGATCCTCCTGTCGCTTATGAGTGCGACTATGCAATTCAACAGGAGTTGGTTCTCTACCAAGCATCGCTTTCTGTTTGAATTAAGAGAATTTTATTAATACAGATTAAAGAACAATTTTAAAAAATATTTAAAATTCATTACCAAA